GTGTGTGTGTGTGTGTGTGTGTGTGTGCGTGTGCGTGTATACAATACAATACCTTTTCCAAGAAGAAGTTATTTTTAGTGAAGCGCTTGATATAGACTATGAGATATCTCGGCAGCTGCTTGATTTTGTAGATAAATCCCTTTCCATCACGTGATTGCTCTGTGGTTCCATTGAATTTCTGCAGGACATGATACGAAGAGATGTGAAACAGTATAGTCCCTATGGACAACCTCAAATGCATACAGACATTTGACAACTTTGACGTAGTTTAACTTACTTCAAATAGGGTGTAGAGTGGTATTTGGGGAATCACATTCGCTCCTTCGGCGTCAGTGAATAGTGGCGCCGGGGGTACGTCGAGAGTTAGGAACATGAATGGCATATCCCGTTTCTTTACTGAGAAATCAGTCTTCGTGTCTTTCTCGGCCAGGGCAGCACGCTCCTGTAGTACCTCGTCGTTAAGCAACTCTGAAGCACGCAACCGTCGTTCGGTTACCTACGAAGCAATGGAAGTCAAGACCATACGTATGAGTGCTGATGTCTATCTTCAGGTCAAAGAGCAGGGTGCAGTATAAAGTCAATCATCTCTGGGGTTCTGCTTCTGCGACTATCTACATATTGGGCTCGCAAATATAAAAGATAGTATACCCAACACAGTAGAGTATCAAACCCCCGCGATACACTATAATACTATATACAGCACACAACAGTCTTCATAGCACTCAAACTCCAACACAGCTTGCCCGTGTTCCCCCCCCCACACACCTCCATGATGCCCTGGAAGCAGTCGCTGACAATGGTTGAGCGAGACGGCTTGTGCTTTGCCTTTGACAGCTGTGTATTGAGGGTATTCAGATACCACGCCATAAAGTCGACGGCGAAGCTCTGCTTGGTGATGGTGAACCGTTTGTTGCTCGTATTCACAATGGCCTGTATGGAATCCATGGTGGATGCGGACTGAATAAACGACTGACAGGTAATAGGCGGCAAAGAACCAGCCACATAAACCCCATGACACACCCAAGCTTAGAATACACTAACTTTCACATACTGAGTCCAATTGGGACACATAAGTCCTTGTGAGATAAGACACAACATAAGTTCTTGTAAAATGAGACACATCGTACCTGGCATAGTTCGTGGGGACTCACATGCGGCCTGTAGTGGTGAGAACTCCACACTTTTCGGAACAGCTCCCCGGTACGGACAGCTGAGTGAACGGTTTAGCAAACAAGAACAAACGCGGTGTTGGGGTAAAGTACGGCTTTGCAATAGACTGTGCCACGACCTGGACAATACGTTACAAAGTGTTTCCCATATAAACTGTGACACTAACTGCAGCATATACGGCCATAGCCCGAGTCAGGCATACACTTTGAGGCGTTTAATAAAAAACTTCAGCAATGTAAACTTACCCAAGGGTTCCTTTAGGTTTTTAGTATTTTCGCTGGAAAGGAAGAAGTCACGAAGGTCCGTTATCTGCGTGAGAGCCTGTACTACGACGTTCATGTAGTCGTTTTTCTTGATGTTGTTTAGTCCAATAATGCCTGTGCATTTGTGTGAAGAGAAGAATAAGTCTATATCTATATCAATCAGAAGTCCACCTATGTGCACGCATAGATTCTACGACACGAGGTTTGTATAGCTTCATAGGGTTATGATTTTTAGGGTTTTGGCATAGGTTTATAGCTCACCTGGGAGATACCTGGAGCCGTCCCTTGCACGAGCTTTTACGGTGATAGTGTTCAGTGCGTTGATTGATTGAGGCGTATACAGCGGATCGAGTAAATCCAGGATATCCTGCGAAGGCATATAGTTAAACGGACAACGACTGTAATTGTCAGAAAGGGAGAAACCTGCACGCAGAGAAGAGTGAGGTCTGTACATTCACTCGGAGATACGAATAGGCACCACAATACCCTTGCAATAAATATGCCGTGACCAGAGATTACCCAAATAAAAATCGTAACCACACGCCACGAGCTTAAGAAGTCAACCAAAGCAACGAACCCCACCTCCCCATGACGAAAAGGACAAGCACGTTTACCTGTAATGAGGAGTCTATGATCTCATAGCAATCAGGCAGGCAGTAGAACTTCTTCGTGCCAAGGTTGATGAACACGTGGTGATTCTGTGTGACGCTGTGAGTGTGCGCATGTGTGTTGCTGCCCCGGCCCTGGTAGTACTTGCCACAAACCAAGCACGCGTACACATTCTGATTCGAGAGCGATACACTACACAACTTCTCGAAATCAAAGTCCAATACAGCCCGGTTTATGGTGTCGAGATAAGGACAGTTACGTGAGATGTCCAGTCCACTTGTGTCTTCGCCAGCCCATGACGAGAGCTTGTCGCCGGAATCAACATCTGATCGGACAAGTCGGAAGATGACATGGATTTAGATGTAGGTACAAAAAAAGCATATTCAATGCAATAGTATTAAGTCTGTATTGAATATTATATATGATAGAAAGTCTACGAAGGACAACACAGGGAAATTTGATATACCCAAACAGAAAAGAAGACCAGACTTCAATTTGTATAGATATATTCAAATATATATATATATATATATAATAATATATGTACATATTATATATA